AAGCTTGGAAACTGGACCCCACCCCCATATTGTACGAATTGACAGTTCGGATGTCAGCCCCCACTTTATTCACTCAAAGCGATAATAATAATATTGTCATTATTAAAAGGGAAAATTATGTCAATGCCCCAAAAGTAATAACTTCATGTGACCTGGTCCCTCTACTACTTTTTCCATTGTAGTTCAGCCCTAAAAAATATCACATCATCTGATTCAGCCCTTTTTTATGTGATTCAGTCCTTTACTCTACGCCAACTAAACACAAAGAGAGAGAAATAACTATAAATGTCAAAAAATACCCTTATTTCCTCCTCTCTCTTCCTTCTCTCCAGATCTAAGTCTGATCCTTCTTCCTCTTCTTCTCTCCTCCTCTCTCCTAACCCATTTCCTTCCTCCTCTCTCTCTTCCTTCTTTTTCTCTTAGACACTGACATTGCCCTCTGCCACCGCCGATCTTGCGTGCATGCTCCGGCCATATTATTTGCTATATTTCTCCCACTAATTTTTCCCGATCTCTCTTTCTTCCCCACCCCCATCCCAAAACTAAAAAAAACCCTAATTTTTCCCGACACTAAAGGTGAAGAGGTGACGAAAAACAAGACGGAGGAGGCGGTGCCGAAGGCGGATGAGGAGGAGTTCAATGCAGTCACAAGTTCCCCCAAAAACTCATTTTAAGTCCAATTTAAATCATGTTAAGTCTAATTCAACTTACTTTAAGTCTAAAAATAAGTTGCATTAGACTTAACATGTAAGTCCAAATTGATTTATGTTAAGTCTAATTTTAGTTTAATTTAATTCCTTTTAAGTCTAATTTAAATCATGTTAAGTCTAATTCAACTTGTTTTAAGTCTAAAAATAAGTTAATTTAAACTTAACTTGAATTATGTTAAGTCTAATTCAACTTATTTTGAGTCTAATTTCTAGTTAAGTCCAGTTTGGTTCGTGTTAAGTCCAGTTTGGTTTATGTTAAGTCTAATTTAATTTATTTTAAGTCTAATTTAATTCATTTTATGTCTAATTTAATTCATTTTAAGTCTATGTAGGCTGTCTAAAAATCACTGCAGATAGCTGATCCCCATCAAACACCGATGATGGAAGTTACAATTTGACGGCTTCCAGAAGGCTACACTTTAAAGACTTTCATGTAGATCGATGAAGGTTACAATCTGACGATCTTCACAACAACTGATGAAAGCTCTAATCAACAGCCTTCACAATCAACATCAGGAGTTACAATCTGACGACTCTCACATATCAAAGAGCTAAAGCAAAGATTACAAAATGACGATCTTTGCAACGCTTTAACAGAAAGAGACTACAAATCGACGGTCTCTTCAAATCAAGACGCGGAAGTCCTCCCTGCGTACCAGCATCAAGATGCACTGCGTTCACAGCCGCTGACGCAGTGCAAACGCAACTCACATTCAGCTCCAAACGCTGCAAACGGGGCTCAGATCCAGCTGCCAACACAGCTCATGTTCGACCGCAAACGCACCCTCCGAAAGCTACAAACACAGATTCCAAATCGCTACAAACGCAGCTTCCAATTGCTTCCAGACGCTGCGTCCGAGCTTCCAGACACTGCGTTTGAATGCAGAATTCACACCAGAATGCGGATTTTGCGTTTGACTCGTTCAAACACGAGCTGAACGGTTTCAAAACCGTTTCCTACGATCTGAGGGGATCACAACTCCACTCAGGAGTGATTTAAGGAGTGGTTACATCCCAAAAGCCCCACTTAGGAGCGAATTAAGGAGGCGGTTACACCCCTTAATCCCCTATAAATAACTAAGAAATCAGCTTAGTTCGGATCCTTCTCCTTGGCAGTAAAGAAGAGATCCTGAGGCAAGAGTTTTGGAGGAGGAGAGGGGGGAATATCTTTGGATCTTTGATAATTTTGGAGATCTAGAGATCAGCTTCTTCGGATCATCTTCTCAGCAGCAGATTCTTGGAGCTTTCTTCGTCCTTGGCTTGTCTAACCAATTACGGTTAAGATCAATCAACTCTTTTAAAAGAGTTTAAACTCGCTCTGAGTTATCAACTTGTTCAGAGTTTCAAACTTACCATGCAAGTCCTCCACAACGTCAAATCGTGAGTAGAAGACCACGTTCTAGTGACACAAGACGTTCGGATCGTCAACGGAGAGAAAACTCGACGCGAGCATTCGAGGGAGGCACTCCATCGCCACCGTGAAGAACCCAAATTTAAACAAAGGGGAGAATTCAGATCGATTCTCCTCTCTTTTGTAATCGGAAATCCAAATTGTAATTAAGATCGAGAAAATACAAGTCAATTTTCTTTCATTCTTTTTACTATAAATTTTCCACCAAACAGTCTAATTTAAATTATGTTAAGTATAATTCAACTTGTTTATAAGTCTAAAAGTAAGTTAAATTAGACTTAGCATGAATCATGTTAAGTCTAATTCAACTTATTTTAAGTCTAATTTCTAGTTAACTCCAATTTGATTCATGGTAAGTCCAATTTGATTCATGTCGTGTTAACTCCAATTTGATTTATGTTAAGTGCAATTTGATTTATATTAAGTCTAACTTAATTCCTTTTAAGTCTAATTTAAATCATGTTAAGTCTAATTCAACTAGTTTTAAGTCTAATTTAACTTATTTTAAGTCTAATTTAGTTAAGTCCAATTTGATTCATGTTAAGTCCAATTTGATTCATGTCGTGTTAAGTCCAAATTGATTTATGTTAAGTCTAATTTAATTCCTTTTAAGTCTAACTTAAAAAAACCGATAGCTTGGATGTTTTGTGAAATTTGTAATTTTTATTTGAACATTGTGGAAAGATGAAAGATATAAAGATATACCAGCTAAATGTGATTTAAAAAAAAAAATTGATGTTAAGTTCAAGTCCAAGGTGGAATATTAAGTCTAATGAGTTAAAAGCAAAGCCCAAGAGCTTGTATGTTAAGTCTATTTGCTTGAATAATAAATCTAATAGCTTGTATGTTAAGTCTATTGGGTTGAATAATAAATCAAATTTGTTGAATATTAGATGTAATGAATTACGTGTTAAATCCAATTTGGTTCGTGTTAAGTTCAATTAAGTTTGTGTCAAGTTGGTTCATGTTAAGTTTGGTTCTTGTTAAGTCCAGTTTGATTCATGTTAAGTCCAGTTTGGTTCATATTAAGTCAAATTTGGTTCTTGTTTAGTCCAGTTTGGTTCTTGTTTAGTCCAGTTTGGTTCATGTTAAGTCCAGTTTGGTTTGTGTTAAGTCTAATTTAATTCATTTGAAGTCTAATTAATTCATTTTAAGTCCAATTTAAATCATGTTATGTCTAATCCAACTTGTTTTAAATAAAAAAACAAGTTAAATTGGACTCAACATAAATCAAATTGGACTTAACATAAATCAAATTGGACTAACATGACATGAATCAAATTGGACTTAATTAGAAATTAGACTTAAAATAAGTGGAATTAGACTTAACGAGATTTATGTTAAGTCTAATTTAACTTGTTTTTAGACTTAAAACATGTTGAATTAAACTTAACATGATTTAAATTAGACTTAAAAGTAATCAAGTTAGACTTAACATAAATCAAATTGGACTTAACACAAATTAAATTGGACTTAACACGATATGAATCAAATTGGACTTAACTAGAAATTAAACTTAAAATAAGTTGAATTAGACTTGACATGATTTAAGTTGGACTTAAAATGAAATAAATTAGACTTAAAATGAATTAAATTAGACTTAACACGAACCAAACTGGACTTAACACGAACCAAACTGGACTTAATATGAACCAAACTGGACTTAACTAGAAATTAGAGTTAAAATAAGTTGAATTAGACTTAATATATTAATGTTAAGTCTAATTTAACTTATTTTTAGTCTTAAAACAAGTTAAATTAGACTTAACATGATTTAAATTAGACTTAAAAGGAATTAAATTAAACTTAACATAAATGAAATTGCATTTAACATAAATCAAATTGGACCTAACACGACATGAATCAAATTGGATTTAACATGAATCAAATTGGACTTAATTAGAAATTAGAGTTAAAATAAGTTGAATTAGACTTAACGTGATTCTTGTTAAGTCTAATTTAACTTATTTTTAGACTTGAAACAAGTTGAATTAGACTTAACATGATTTAAGTTGGACTTAAAATGAATTAAATTAGACTTAAAATAAATTAAATTAGACTTAGCATGATTTAAGTTGGACTTAAAAAGAATTAAATTAGACATAAAATAAAATAAATTAGACCTAACACGAACCAAACTGGACTTAACACGAACCAAGTTGGATTTAACTAGAAATTAGACTTAAAATAATTTAAATTAGACTTAACATGATTTATGTTAAATCTAATTTAACTTATTTTTAGACTTAAAACAAGTTGAATTAGACTTAACATGATTTAAAATTAGACTTAAAATGAATTAAATTAGACTTAAAATGAGTTTTTGTGGAACTTATGACGGCCTCGAGCTCCTCCTCGTCCTCCTCCGGCACCGCCTCCACCGTCTTGTTCTTCACCACCTCTTCGCCTTTAGTGTCGGGAAAATTGAAGGCTTTTTTTAGTTTTGAGGGGAAAGAAAGAGAGATCAGGGAAAATTAATGGGAGAAAAGAAACGAACAATATGACCGGAGCGTGCACGCAAGGTCGGTGGTGGCGGAGGGCAATGTCGGCGTCTGAGAGAAAAAGGAGGAAGAGAGAGATGAGGAAGGAAATGAGTTAGGAGAGAGGAGGAGGGGAGAAGAGGAAGGAGGATTAGACTTAGATCTGAAGAGAAGGAAGAGAAAGGAGGAAATGATGGTATTTTTGATTTTTATGTTTGGTTCTCTTTTTATGCTTAGTTAGCCTAGAGTAAAGGGCTGAATCACAAAAAAGGACCGAAGCAGATAGTGTGATCTTTTTTAGGGCGAACGACAATGGAAAAAAATGAAAGGGCAGCTCACGTGTTATTACTTTTGGAGCCTTACACAATTTTCCGATATTAAAAAGCAAAAAAAAAACGAAGTAAAAAATCAATCCAAAATTTTCGAAAACCTCGATAAAGTTAGGGTTTTCCCTGTCGGGCTCTCAGTCCCCGCGGGCGACTCTATCTGTCGTCGGATTAAATCGATGCAGTAGAGAGAAACTCTACGCCTAAACCCTAATTTCTTCACTCTCGTGAAGCTGGGGAGCCTCAGCACGATGAATGTCCCAATTATTGGTAATCTCTTTTTCTTCTCTCTCTCTCTCTCTAGATTTTCCTGCGTCTGTTGCTAATTTATTAGGGTTTTTTTATTGGAAAAAGATCCATTGCAGGGAGATTTCCCAGAAGTTATAGAGGATTATTTGCAGCATGGGATCATGAAATGTATTGCCTTCAACAGGAGAGGAACTCTTCTTGCTGGTAAGTGCTTTATGATCAAAATTAGGTATTGATCAGTAAATTGTGTTAAAAGATAGTTTCTCCCTCTTATTTGAACTTTTCCCGGCTAAAGATCAGTACTTTAGTTTGTGTGCTTGGCAACCGGCAATTAGATAGACTGTGGAAAAGATGAGAAATTGACTTCACCTTCTACTTTTATCCTGCTTCATGTTTGGCAATTGGAAAACGGTCTTGAAAGTAAATGTAAGGTGGAGCGTGCCACATTAGCTTTTTAGCCTCTTTCGTTTCTAAAAATACCTGAGAAAGTGAATTGTGAGGATGGAGAAATTAAATTTTTATTCTCTCTTCTTACCATTTTATACCGTTTTAATTTTAAATATTCACTTCTTACTATTTACTTTCCATTTCAACCAGACACGACAGAAAATGGATGCCGGATAAGCATCCTCTTCCAAACACGATTTACAGTAGACCGTCATGAGAAAGTACTTTATTTTCACTTTCTTTTTTTTATTACCAAATACATGGTTGCATGGAACATGGCTCGTTCCGATTCACGGGACAAGAGCGGGAGCGTGGTAAGCCACTCATTTGGAATTGGGGGCGAGGGGGCAGGCTTGTACAATATGCTACGTAACATGATACACTTTATCTTTGGTATTTAAATATAGGAATATGAGGTTTTACAAGAGACAAATTCAAGAAATATGTTAGTTGGTATCACTAATTGTAAAAGAGCCTTGAGAATCGTGTTATAATTAAGGTATGCATACTTTAGAATCGTGTTATAATTAAGGTATGCATACTTTAGTTGCTTAATTTCTCATGCTTTTTGTTTATTTTCTGAATAATAGTTATATATTTTTTAGAGTTTTAACTAGTTTGAGTTCTAAATCTGGTCGCTGGAATAGGCGAACTGGGTCGGGTTCTACTGTGATCCAGTGACTAAACCATATACCCTGTCTAGGACTGCTGAACCTGTAGTCGACAGTCGCGTATAGATTCCACGTTTTGGGAATCTTTGGGCAAACACACCCTTTAGAGGCAAAAATAGCAAAAGAAGCAATTTTATATGTGGAAGGAAAGATATATATTCTATTGTGCCAATCACAGTTTGTTTTGGAAAGTTAGTTAAATCATTGGGAAAAAAACTTATTTTATGGAGACTCATCAAGGATTAAAAAAGATATAAATTATATAGTGCCAATCGTAGTTTGTTTTGGAAAGTTAGTTAAATCATTGGGAAAAAACTTATTTTATGTAGACTGATGATCAAGGATTTAGACTTGTATGAACACAGGTTCTTATTGAAAATTTGAAGATTTTGTTGGCTATGCTAATAAGTTAAAATTGGCAAGGTTCTGGGTTGTGATAGTGCTTTAGATGTGAAAGATTGTGTTTTGCACTATGTATTGTAGGAAACAATGTTGCAAAAGCTTACTTGGTTTTTCACAACTTTTTTTTCCTTGTGTTGAGATGTGGCATATTGAGTTGTTTAAGTTTATTTTTATGGCTTGTTGCATACTTAAATCTACCGTGCCAGTAGTGTATGCATTGCTGATCTAGGTAGTTGAATGCCGGACAAGGGTGTTATACAAGCTGACTTGAAGTTTCTTTTTTTCATGAGTAGAAAAAACATGTAAAGATGGATCATGCAATGGTTACAAACTTGAGGTTTCTTTTTTTCATGAGAATTGAATGACTTGAAGTTTTTTTTTCATGAGTAGAAAAAACATGTAAAGATGGATCATGCAGTGGTTACAAACTTTTAGTTTCTGCTTCTCTTAAAAAGTAAAAAAGACAAAAGAAAAGCTCTTTTCTTTGAATTTAGATTTCATATTTCTGTTTAGTTAGCCAAGGTTTCTATTTGTTTCCATAAGAGCTGTTTTTCTGAATGGAGAAGTAGGGAAGAAATGAATTTGATATGCATTGGAGAAAGGCATATGCAACAACATACCGTTGTATGGTAACTAGTTTTTCGACTATTATCAACAACATACTTGCTGGAACTGTCTTCAAACATCAACCTTTGACAATTTGATTATTTAACTCACCTCTGTTTAATGCCTGTATAAGGAACAGGTCCAAATCCTTTTTCTTCCATTTCATCGTCTCAGGATAGCCCATTCATGTTACTGATTTATTAGGTTTATCCAATCACATGGATGTTTATCTTTTCAGCAAGATATGAACTTTTCCTCATTCTTTATACCGTGTCTCTTTCTGTGCCATCTTTTTTGACCCACAAACACTTTCATTGCTAGTGGTTGGACACCATTTTTGGCACTATCGTTCACTAAAAACATGCAATATATTTTCCTACGCAGCTATAAATCATAACATAATTTCTTTTAATCTTCCACTGACCTTGTTCTTTTGCGTATGGTTTACGCTAGATGCTTCAGTATGTGTTTGCCAGGACATTTGATTACTGAATAAATTTTCCCAAATATTTGGGCTAGTTCTTTTGCTCGCTGTAGGACATAAATCATTTTTCATTTGCTTTCCTTCACAAAACCTGGGTATATTTATGTATTTCCTTCTTGTTGACTTCAATCCTGTTTGATTTTATTGTTCATAAGTACCTATTGGCAATGCATGCCTTGGCAGTGTGATCTAATAAGGATGTACTGAAAATGTGAACATTGTTAAGTTGGCAAAAGATTGTTGTTTGTTGGTGAAGCACCATTTGGCTTCTTATAGCTTTTGTTTGATGACAAACGAAGTCAAGGTTCCACAATAAATATCACATGTTTACCATTATCGTAAAATTCTTTTTGTAAGGTGGTTTCACATGTTCTGATTGCATAGGTTTTTTTAGCCTCATGTTTTTGGTTTTCTTTTGTAGATTATGACATGAATGGACAACACGATTGTTACAACAATCACTGTCTTATGCATGCCATCAAAAAATTATTAGTATTTATCATTTGAAAAATTGTCTTAAGTAATAATTTAAAGTTCTTATATGGCGAGTTAAACACATCATTAAGTCGTACAATAGGACAAAATTGTTGTGTTTTTATATGGCAACAAATCTGATCTAATATGGAACAAAAGGGTGACAAAATCAATTTGTGGGCCAATGGGCCATCAATGTGGAGAACTAGAAGAAATTTAATATATGATAGCAGAAGAATGAAGGCAAAAGTACAATCTCGTTCTGGAAGTTAAATTTGAACAGATAATTCTATACTTCTATTAGTTAGTCAGCATTTCTTAATTCACGTGGCTGCCCTAGCAGCACTGCATACAACAATGTGCGTGCATTTGGGGACTTAATTGGTGAAAAGTACCTTCCAATTTCTTCTTTGGGAGCTACTTGTCATATACAGATATATGACGGGGGTTCGAGTTGAATCATGGCACTTACGTCAAACAGCTTTCTGCACAATCTTAGCTTCCATGTCTCCAGCAGTGGGTGCAATTCTGTGCCCATAGAAGCATACTGTTGTGAAGTACAATGTACTCATGCTTAACCTTAACCCAATCAAAGGAAAGTCCTCCAAGAATAAAATATGTGGTAAAAAATATAAAATCTCTAAAAGTGTCTCTTAGGAGTTTCTGAATTTGATAGGAGGGTTCTTCCAACATCTATCCTGGCAGATCCTAGGAAATAAAGTTGCTGGTCCACGTTAAGCACATTTATGTGCTCATGATAAAATCTGTTCGTACTTCTGAAATATTTCCCAACTACTTGTATTCTTTTACTCTAAATATGACTTGTATTTCTCATAGGGGATGAGTTTGATTCACTCATTGATTAGGAAATATATGGTTACTTTCCGTGGGTATTAGTTCGACCATCATACTACTTGGTAGTTATGTAAAATCAAAGGCAACATTTTCTGGTTTGACAGTGTAGCTTTCCAGAGTATGATTTGTAAAGAGTACCAAAGAATATGTGGGACCTACATTATGTTGGAAAACAACCAAAGACTACATTAGCATTTGGGCTAATTGGGCATAGACTGCTGTACTATAAACTAATTGCAGAAAGACACCCTGTGAACTTTTTTGACTCTTTCAATTGTCAAAAATAATTCACTCAAGGGGTCTATCTGCGCTTGGGCAAAGAGTACAAGGGGTCTATCTGCACCAAAAGAACTACAAGGAGTCTATCCGCAATTGGGCGATAGTACAGTTGTATATCTGCAATTAACCGTAGTATTTTAATTCTCTTTGTAATTGAATTTTCTGTTAAAATGACCGAACAACAATGCTTGCTGTCACTGCATCCGGTTTCTCTCATGGCATTCACTTTTATCCGATTGAACTCTTCATGATTTAAAGTCATTTTCCTCTTCTTATATGAATTTTTGCTATTTCTATCTTATTATACTTTTGTACAGGCTTTCCGGTTTCAATGTGATTCTTGTTCCATGTCTTTGGGTGTTTGGTATTTTGGTTTTATTTTTTTTCATTTAATGATCTCAAGCTACCAGCTTATTATTGTGATCCTTTCCGAATAACTATTGGTTTATGTTCTTTTCTCTCAGCTGGCTGCTCAGATGGGAGCTGTGTCATTTGGGATTTTGAGACTAGAGGCGTTGCTAAAGAGCTACGCGATAAAGACTGTGGTTCCCCTATAACTAGTGTTTGCTGGTCTAAGTATGGCCACCAAATACTTGCTTCTGCTATGGATAAGTCATTGACGCTTTGGGATGTTAAAACTGGTAAGAAGATTGCCCGGATTACACTGCAGCAAACTACACTCCTTGTCCGTCTACATCCAGGTTCTTGCACTCCATTTGTTTGCTTGGCTTGCCCCCTTTCTTCTGCCCCCATCCTGGTTGATCTCAACAATGGAAGCTCCACTATACTCCCAGTTTCTGTCTCTGATGCTGGAGCAGGTCTCACCTCCCATCCTCGCAAGCTTGATGGCTCTCCATCTTTTGCACCTACTGCTGCAACGTTCAACAAATATGGTGATCTAGTTTATGTAGGGAACTCCAAAGGTGAGATCCTCATAGTGGATTATAAGGACACTCAGGTTCACGCGATGGTCCCCACTCCTGGAGCATGTTTCATAAAAAATATCGTCTTTAGTAGAAATGGGCAGTATTTGCTAACAAACTCAAACGATCGGATCATTAGAGTCTACGAGAATCTCCTCCCTCAGAAAGGTGCAGCAAAGGAACTTGATGAAATGGAAAGAGCTAGCAGTGAGTTCCAAGGGACCGAGAAGTTGAAAGCGGTTGGTTCTAAGTGTTTGCTTCTTTTTCGAGAGTTTCAGGATGCTGTGACAAAGATACAGTGGAAAGCACCTTGCTTTAGTGGTGATGGTGAGTGGGTTGTCAGTGCTTCTGCTAGCAAAGGAGAGCATAAAATATATATATGGGATCGCTCTGGGTATTTGGTAAAGATCCTTGAAGGGCCTAAAGAAGCTCTAATAGATCTTTTATGGCACCCAGTAAAACCCTTGGTGGTATCTGTTTCTGTTGCTGGCTTGGTTTATATCTGGGCCAAAGATTATACAGAGAATTGGAGTGCATTTGCACCGGAATTCAAGGAGCTCGAGGAGAATGAAGAGTATGTGGAGAGAGAGGATGAATTTGACTTGGTTCCTGAATCCGAGAAGGTAAAAAAGAAAGATTTTATTCACTGGTAGTTTCTCATTTCATATGTCTGTAGTTTTGCTAAAGTGATGACCTGCAGGTGAAAGAGTTGGATATCGATGTAGACGAAGAGGTTGATATCTTGACTGTAGAAAAGGATTCAACGTTTAGTGATTCTGATGCATCACAAGAAGAGCTTTGTTTCCTTCCAGCTGTTCCTTTGCCAGATGTAAATCCAGAGCAGCAAGAAGATAAGTGTGTTGCAAGCTCGCCGAAGGTGGAGGGTAGCAATCAATCTGGTTATCCATTCTTAATTGAATCCAAGCAGAATGGCCAGGCAATACTTCCTGCTTCAAGCCCAGCAGAAGGTACCTGTTCTTGTTGTTGAATTGAGCTGTACTTAAATTACATAAACAATGGGCATGGAGCTTAATGTCCGCCCCTCAAACTGAGTATATTAACCCCCATATTAATAAAGAAACAGGAGCTTTTGGAGATTCTTATTGGGAGATCATCTACTGGGTCCACTGTTATAAATAGCGGTAAATAGCCCCGCAATAACGGCGCTAATAGCGTTAGCGCTCCCTTCCCGTGACGCTATCGCCCGCTATGCTATCGCGCAATAGCGGTGACATATTGCAGAATATGTTTGTTCGTAAAAGCCGCCAATAGTGTGTCATAACGGTAAATAGTGAGCGATTGCATTCGAAATTTGCTTTTTGACTGCTATTTAAAAACGGTTTGAGACTTATTTTTTAAAATTAAACTCAACCATTGACCATTGCATTCCACCGTCTCCTGTGATTTTCAGCATACTCCCGTCACCTTTCATAGCCTCTGGCACCTACCTTGATACTTCCTCTCACCTCCTTCACTGTGAGCTCCTCTTAGGGCAGTACTGTCACCGCTAAGCTCTTCTTCTCGAAGACGACGACTTTTTAACTCCTCCAGTCATTTTCGGTATTACGTGATGGTTACATGTCTATTTCATGTTTAGGATCTCTTTAAATCATCCAATATGTACTTTTAGATTTCTTAGATTTTTCTTAATTTTTTTAGTATTTATACATATCTAAATTAGACCGTTATTTGACTTTGCGCTTTTTACCGCTATTTTGCCGTAATAGCCCGAAATAGCCTTAGCGATGCCTCACCGCTATGCGACGCTATCCGCTATCGATAACCTTGACTGGGTCATCCAAACTAATTAATTGACACAATATTACCGTCTGCATTATCCAAAAAACAATGATTAACACTATTAGTCATGATCTGATCATAGTCAGACGTAAAGAAATATCCTATTCACGGTATGCCGTCAGATATTATCAAATATCAACTTAGTTGTTGTTTCTAAATTTTCCATAAAATGGTGCATTTATTTGTTCACTGTGGTTTCACGACTTGTTAGGAATCAGTACTTACATTGTAGAGTTGCGTCCCGTATATTGTACATTATACTTTTCATGTAACAAACTTAAAAAAAGTTGCGCCCTGAATATTGTATATTATACTTTTCAGGTAACAAACTTAAAAAAAGAGTTAGCAGAAATCGTGAGTAATTTCACATCCTTAATGTTTATTTAAATGCGAAGCTTGTTACGTGGTAAGAATCTTGGGTGCTACAGATGTAAGTGATGTAAACTAGATTATGATTGCTGGATATTGCCATAAATACAACAGTATTGAACTTCAAGACCTTTGTCTAATTGAAAACTGTTATCTTTTCCAGTTGTGGGTAATTCTACTGCAGATGATCCCGAGGGTATCTCTGGTTTGAAGAGGAAGAGGAAGCCATCGGTGAAGGTGCTGGAGTTGTAGGAAGAGAAGTTCCAAAAACCATCAACTAAGACCAAGCCCCTTTGCAGATCTTCAAAATCAAAGACCAAACTTGAAGATGAGGATGATATGAATGGTTATGAATACGAAGATGATGAAACAAATGAATACCTATAAGTCTTTCAAATCAGTAGCCTAAATGGTTGAAACCCATTTAAAGTTGCGGCTTTCAATTTCTTGAAGAGGTTTGGCTGATGCTTTGTTGTCCCTCATATGTAGGAAGGCTTGGGTTCATCCTAATGGAGTGAGTTTGAAACAGTGTAGATGTAGACCTGTATTAATTTGTAAGTGCACCTTGTGCAAAGGAGAGACTGGAAGAATGCTGGCAATGGAAATTCTTTGCACCTTGCAAAAACTCCAAAGCCTGGGTGCAGTGTCATAACATCATTTATTTTTATTCTTATTTTAATATAAGGAAATCATTTTTATTGATATATATCTGAGGATTGGTACAAACCAGTTGATGTTTGTGCTGCTCATGTCTGAAGCATTTGTGCATTTTTTTATTGGTTAGTTATTACTGCAATGCATTATTTATAGAGGACCCTGTGCTATGAGAGCTGAGCTTCTTCCCAGCAATGTTTATATAATAGGACCTTTGCGCTCCAAATTTAGGGAATTTGGTTTTGATTTTCAAATAAACCCATTTCAAAACTATCCCATCCTCTCTAACTGAAGAATTCTTTCTCCATTTTTTCTTTGTCGTCTGTATTTGTGAGAATGATTATCATGGGTTAATTGGAGATTGGAGTTTGACAAAGTGAAGAAAGAACTTGAAGGAAGCCTAATTTTCTGCAGCATTTGGAGACTGTCGCAAAGGAGGTAAATGCTATTGCATAAAAAGTTCTAATTATAATATTAAGACTACTTTCGTATCTAGCTTTCAAATTTATCAGTGAACATTCTAATTTCTGGGGCTTATTTTGATGACAGATTTTGTCAGAAAATTGTGGAGTCTCGTGGCATGTTGAAATACACTACTTAGAACTTAGGCACACATGTTGCAGAAGAGGTAAGAATTTATGTTTTAATATTGGGTTTTATCAGCGGTGTTTTGTTTCGTCGTGACTGTGTTAACGAAGCTTGGGTTTTTTAAGCAGCTAACTAAACCCCATGCTGTTTTGTGATTGGTTGTTTTATGCGTTTGCTGAATAATTTTTCTACATATGTATTTTCATGGAGGAAGTTCAAGTACAACTTTATGTTTTGTGGGAGCTATAACCACTCTTTTATATAACATTGTTACTGTATTACACTTATAGCACTGATTCCTTACTTTTTCATGTAGATAACCATGACCACATTTGACACTTTCATATATTATGGAGGAGAATTAACACACTATCCTGAGTCGTCCTTTAGTAGGGGATTGTTGAATGTTCTTGTCAGTGTTGACCCGGAGATATATTTGGATGGTGTTATTTGGATGATGCCATAGTGAAGCTTTGATATAAGGGTAGTTATAGGGTGTATTAAAGCTTATAAGCCCAAGGTCAGGACATGAACTGGTGGGTGTATGTGCATCGTATCTGTAGTATGTACAAAATATATGCGTGTAATGCAATATAGAGGGCATATGCAGTTTTGACATCTTCGTTATTATGAGTGAAACTGAGTAATACTAGCACTAGGGTGAACTTTAAATATTTGCGCAAGGTAATAAATTACTTATTGTCTGTGCACTTTCAACTTTCAACATCAGGTCTGCCTGTCTTTTTCTTGAGACAGTCCCCCCACCCAAAAAAAAAAAAAAAAACTAAAAAAAACCCCACCCTCTTAAACTCAAAATTTAGGGGTGGATTGGAGCTTGCCAAGGGAATTAAATTCTGAGAGGCTTGAAGATATATGCTTTCATGCACTTTTATGATCACAAAACATTGTCGAAAGAGTCCTCTAGAGTTACTGCTATTTGTGTGAGTAAAGGCAGCTGTTGGAGGTGCATGATTCATGGGATAGCAATAGAAATAGAATACCCTTCCAAATTAAGGGTTAAAAACTATAGAAGACATGCTGACGCTTGTCTTTTCTGGATAGAAAGTACATTGATTTGGTTAGAGAGGATCCAGAATAGACAAAGTGATGAATGTGGTTCTATTCTACTATAGTTGATGATATCTACCTTCATGCAGGTCTCAGATTTTATGCCACTTCAAGGAGAATCTCAAATGTTGAAACCCCTAATGATAAATGTGAAACACTCAGTCACCTTCAGACAAGTGATGAAGATTGTCAGGAGGGATAATAAAGTATTCTACTACTGATAGTGCTAAACTAGTAAGCAATTGGACTAGGTGGAGGTTTAGTAAGACATCGCTAGTGGAAAACATACAATCACTGACATAGCTGGGTAGACGGGGGAAAAAAATCCCCAAAATCCTGCATAAACATGTTTTAAAGGTCAGGTTTGACTTTAAGTCTCAATTGAGTGTAAACCAAACTTACTTTATATGAATCTCAAAGTAGGAGAATTAAATCCTAATTAAGCACCAACTTTTTTTCCTTTTACTTCTCGTGTCTCAAGTATTAGCACCTTTGACTGCCTGTCACGTCTCACCCTTGGTTGCCTGCCTGTATGTCCTTCTTTCTTGATCTCTCTGGCTCTCTTTTGAATCCTCTTAGTTGTCTCTCACAGTATCTTTGTCCCCAAAACATACGTTATTTGGGTCATTAACATTTTTGTAAGCATCGATTTCATTGAACATCTATATATGTGTACATACAGTTAAATATTTGTTTCTACATTCGATGTTTACTAAATATCCCAGATATTCACCGTCCTGCTTCAAAATTTTTTTTCGTGCGGCTGGACTCTGATATCCAACATTACAATACTGGATACAACATAGAGAAATCAACAATAAAGCAACAAAAACATGTTTCCATGTAGTTTAGCTAACAAAATCTATAAAAGTTTATTACTAAAATGTAGAAGGCAAATGAATGGTTAATAATCAAATGGACGGTATATGCAAGTTATTACACTTCATTTGTATATGAATCAAATACTAAAATTTATATGTTTTCCTAATTGAATATAATTGTGTAATTAGACAAGCAATTAACTAATTATTTGTTAACTATTCAATCAGTTTCCATCCATTACTACAACAATCATCAAGCATGAGACACAGATAGAAGACCATGTCTATTCATACTTTAGCAAGAAAACATATTGTGACACTCAACTATAGTCTACACTGTGTCAGGTTTGAAGCAGGGACCCGAAATCTTTGGTGAAGGAAATGAAGCATCCGCCTCCTTCTAAAAGACAATTAAGAAATAGGAGGATAATTGGCGGATGAGAATGAAGAGAAGCAGTTGTAAATGATGTTAAACAAGAGACAGAGCATTGAAGGATGAAGCGTTGACGGATGAAGGTTAGACATTTCTGACATTTATTTGATATCTGTAACATTTTTGTCATCTCTGAGAATATGCCACTTTTGACCCTTAAATGTACCTGCGATTAGGGGGAAAATAAAGTCTAATCCTAGCACAATATTTAACAATAAGGGAAAAGAAACGAAAATTTGAAGAGAAGAAGGATAAGTAATTTTCATATGTGGTTGATCAACTGTCGGTTATTGGAAAGTTACGGTCGATAATGAAATTCAAGGCCTCAGTTGCTTGGTTACTACCAGGCTCCTAGGAGTCTTTCTTGATGTCTTTGACCAACTCTGTCCATGACGACATTGTTACTTTGGAGATGACAATGGATGGTGATTTGAATGAGTGGAGAAAATCTCAAGGCTCATCATCGTCACACTCCGGAATCTTGGTTGTCGAGAATCAAAGTTACAAAAAACGTTAGGTGGCCTAGACATTGGACCCGCCAACTAGAGCTTAGGCGTCTAGATGAGACCCTAGGCTTTTTTTCATTTTTTATTTTTTAATTACAATTATTGATAGTAAATGTCAATGTCAATAGAAAGTTTAAGCGCGGGACTAGCGCCTGGGCAAATTTCTTAAGTAGTGGTGCAAGTGGTTTTGTTGAAGCTCAGAGAAGGTAGATGAGATGTTTGTAGTTGGAGGCTAGAGGAGTTTGGAGGAGGTTGGAGGATGTGGAGGCTGCAACAAAGGAATCACGATAAGGTTTAAAGTGTATAGTTCATGTAGGCGGACTACACTCCTCTAGGCGTTCCCAAAATCTAGGTGGGCAGTCTAGGTATTGCCTACGTGCTAGCGCTAGGCGGGCGGCCATGGTAACGCCTAGGCTTAGGCGTATGCCTAGGAGGGCTTGGCGGAGGCTTTTTCAAACATTATGGAGAATAGAGAAAGTAGTCAAGAAGAGATCATGGAGGAAAATGTATGAGCTGAGGAGAGTTGAAGAATCGATATTAGGATGTCGAATGCTCTCATTGTGGTAAGAAGGGTCACATTGAGAACTGATTCACATTAAAAAGAGAGAAGTATTATGAGAAGTCAAAGAAGTGAGGGAAAAAACACCACCATGGTGGCTGTTAAGTACGATCTTATCATCATTGACTCTAGGGCTTCAGGATCTTTTCACTCACAATTTGACACATTTTGTATCCTACACCTCTGGGAATTGTGGAGTGTTGAGTATGAACAATGAGATGTGTTCGAAGTTGTGAGACTGGGAGAAATTCACTTGAAAACCAAATCCTGGCACTATGTTTTTTTGGTGTGTTTTTAACACTGGTGCTATGTTGTTTCTTAAGAATGTTTATCATGATCCTGACGTTTGTCTCAATCTTTTATCGGTTGGCTGGGGACTAAGTTGCATGAGTACGGGTACATGACATAACATCTTATATATGTATATAATTTACATTAGATCAATATTGTTTTTTCATTTATATAACATCATTGTATAAAAAATAGATGTGAAGTGTAGGATGTATGCCTAAGAAAATGTATGAGGAGTGTTTTAAATTAAAGGATGTGTTATATAATTGACTATACACTTGAATAAACGTACACATATATTTAAGAGTGTCCAAGAAGTTTCGATACGAGTACGGGTACATGTCAGGCAAAGGTACGACTTCAAATAGAAGCACCCAGGTAACATAGGCTGGGAAGCTATTTCGAAAGTCGTCGGTGGAAGCTAAGGTAGAATACTTTGGTGATGGCAAGAGGTGACAAGCGATCAAGTCTCTGTCATACTAAATTCGATGTTTTGGGTGCGAAGGTTAACTTACTGTAGAATATATCTACGTAGTTGTGGTATGAAAGGCTTAGTAATATGAGTGAACAGAGGACCCACCTTTTAGCAAAGAAAAATATTCTTATGGGTTTGAAAAAGTACGAAAAAGTACAATCCTAGAGAACTGTGCACATTTTTTTTTGGTTGAGAAGCGAAGAAGAGTTTCATTCCATATCAAAAACCCTTCACGCGAGCCCAAATGACTCACTTAGTTTTTGCAGTCCGATAAAATAGAAGTCTATTTATGATGCGTTGTACTTTTTCTT